TCGAACGCACTCGAACAGTTTGGCTGCATGGTTGGTTTCGTGTTTTCTCATGTGTAATCTGAATACGAACCAGTTTCCCTTAGAAATTCCCCACGAAGGCATCCCTTCTCTTAGACAATAACATCTGTATACTTAGCCGTAGTTTAAAAACCATAACCATAACTGTCTTTCCTATAACTTAATATTTTTAATTTATTGAGAAAGATAAAAAATTCATAATAAATAAACTGCATTGCCGATACTAAAGTTTATTGACTGAAATAGGAGCGGCAAGATTTTCTATATATTGCACGAATGCTCAGCGTGCCTTCCTTTTCTTGATACGGTAGATATGTATGTAATATTCCGTACCATCTTACACGCGTCTCAGTGTATCACGATCGATCAGAACCACAGCATCGATGATAGGATTGCAAAGATATCGCAAGTTAACAGTCAACGGAGGCAGAACGACAGTATTTTCTTCACAAACCTCACAACAAAAAGTTCGATGAGATTAAATCCGAAGATTGCTGTGGCCACCGCGTCTCTTTTTCCTGTACGTTCTGCCTACTTTGGTGGCAAATATTGATTGATATATTTTCGCAAATGGTTTCAATTTTTATGGAAAATTTTGTCAGAGATACTGTTTTAAATATTCTTCATACAGATTTGTCAGGTAGTAAGCCGTGTTATTGTCTTGCTAAGAAGAATAATTATCACCGACTCCAGCCCCCCTCTATTCAACTGATGCAACTGTGGTAGCAGCTCCTTCTGAGTATTAAGTAAATTCTCTCAAAAGCGCATAAATGTCTGCCGCGCCAGCGAAGGTAGACAAATTCAGCCATTGTGAAACACGGAGCCCGTATACCACAGTCGCTGAATTGGTCCACCTGAATTAATTTAGTTTGAAGTAATTAAATCCGCTGTATTTAACTCTGAATTTATTAAGTTTATATTATGAAGTTTACATACTTGCATTAAATTAATTTTCCTCTGTATCAGTTTAATATAATTGGGTACTGGTTTCTAATTTATTAAGTGCGAATTTTTAAAATATTTTACGGAATATTGTATAACCCTGTATCATTTGACCAAACAAATAAGAAGTGTTCTGAAAAGTGGAAATACCCCCCTTTTTTTTCCAGTTTTCTAATGCTTCATTATCTTCCATCTGAATCCTTTAGTAGAAAGTTGCATTCGATTAACTGTATGATATGCTATACAACTTTTCTATGGATTTAGGTAATTTTTATGAATGTAGATGCACTTTTTTAAAAATCTTTATTACTTGATCATTTGATACTTTTGTAGTTAAAAGCATTTAATTTTCTTAATTCTTAAGTAACCTGAATCAGAAGCAAATATTATCTTATACTTAGTTTTTCGGTTTGGCATGTGGTTTAAACAATAAATTATATAATTAGAATGAAGTTAGCCCAACGGTGGCGTAGAGAGGGGGAAAGGGGTGTATGATCGTGACCTTCGAGAAACAAGGCCGTCCAGCTCTCTCGTGACGTCACGATGAGAAGTGCGAAGAAATCTCTTTCCCTGCATTCGAAGCGAGTGAACCCACAGCGCGCTAATTTATCAGAGAAGCTAATTTTATGTTATTCTGATGTAAAATTAGATGATATTATTAAATAAATGATACTATCTTAACATTTATTATATATCATACTTTAAGACTTCAGATATCTGAGCTTATTTTTTCTTAATACTTGATAAAAATTTTCACCTAGATGATTAATAATTATTTATATTAGTCTCATTTTATTTTCCATAGATTGGATAAACTTTCCAACACTTCATAACACGAAAATTTTAAGTCTTCGAACTGCAAACGAAACATTTCATATTATTTTTCATTCATATGTAAACATGAAAAATATGAATAAAAAAAGAGCATTTTACAAGAACCAACCTTTTTCTTACAGACTTTTTTAAATAATATTTAATGTTCTTCAGTATGGCGATAAAATGAAAGAACTAGCATTTTCGGTTATTACATTAATTTTTAAAGCAAATTTTAGTGTAGAAGATCTTTTATAATAAACTAAATATTAAAAGGGATATTTCATCATTTATTTATCGAAATAAATATATTAAAATTTATTTTTAAGGATAATTTTTAATGTGAACATTGTTTTAACCTGTTGAATGGGGCTATTGTTATTATTAAAATAAAATAATTATTAAACTTGCAGTGATCCAGATTCTTACAGAATAAAAACCAAAGAGCTATTTTTAATCTGTCACAGAAAATCATTTTACTTTAATTTTGCCGACTGTCTTTATTAAACACTTTTTTAATTGCGATATGAATTCTTACTATTCTATATTACTCTTTAGCGAAATCTTGATATGTCCACGTTAGAGTTTATGATCATAATAGTTAATTTCGAAAGTTGTGCCTGCACCTATGTGTGAGTTTTGATTTTTTGGATCACTTATGCGTATCGTTAAGGAATTGTAAAGGGGAAAAAATAATAATTCTTTGAAAATTTAATAGACAAGCATTTTGAAAGGAACACACTGCAGAATTGTATTTTAAATTTTAAAATATGCAAGGCAGTTAGCACAGGTTCACACATCTCGTTACCGAAGCGCACGTGGTAGAGCCTATATCAGATCAAGAAAGTGAAATGATAATATAGGATACCGGACGTCCCTTGCAGAAGCACTTCATTCTCCCAGTATATTTAATCTTTTTTAATTGTTTATTCTATTGTATCCATTTAAAACATCATATACTCTATAGCTTTTCAAAAATGTAGCATTTTGCTAATGTATGAAATTTAATGTAAAAAAACGTAACAGCAAAATTTTAGGGGGGAAAAATTCTAAGCTTTATAAGCAAGTGGTGTAACAATATTGTTTTCAAGTTTTGTTTATATATTTTTAAAAATATAATTTTAATTACAATTTTCACAATAAATTTGAAAAAATGAAAAAAAAAAAGTTTAAAAAAGGATAATGTGAAAAACACAAATTAGAATTTTTAAATGAAAAAACATATTACTTTAAATCTTTAAAAAATCTTTAAATTTATAATGACAAGTAGTACATTAAAAATAAAACTGAAATAAATTAGATATTACAAAATCATTTAACGCTATATGATTAATATATAATCATAATGCACAGCGTTTCAGCAATACAGGAAACAAAATTTACTATACATTAAATAATCCTGTAGTATATGGACTTAATTAATTTATTGTTTACTTTTATATTTTACACTAGTTATTGTTTATTTTTTAATATTTTACACTAGTTTTTCAGTAGAAATCATTTTAGCTTTAAAAACAAACACATTAAACGTATCTAATATTTAATCTAGTTTTCTTTAAATATCAATAAAAATCATAGTAATGGAACCTCACCCTGCTGTTTTTAGTCCGAATGAAATCCTTCCGTTTTATGGCACGTATCCACTTTCACATCTGCATCAACAGGAAAAGCGAAAATATGTATTGTAATTTCCGTTACATCGCGGCACTGAAGACATGTAAGACATTATATTGCTTCTGGAACAACCCACAAATTGCAAAAAAACTCAAATTTAATGTGTCCGACTACGAAAAAAGCACGGTATATACCAAGATTCTCTCGTAGCAATGGCGACTAACAATAACCTTTGACCCAACGCTGCCCTCAAACCCAAAGAAGGGTGCACTCTCTGTACTGACGTCACGCGCTCTACGTCACTGAGCTAGCTGTAAGGCCTTGTTCTCGAAGGCCACGGTATGATACCCCGGGCGCCGTTCGCAGAAGGGCGCCAAATGGTCTCCAAACAAGATTTTCATCATATTACTGTGTGAAGGAAGGGCGCCAAAAAGGTATTTTGCCCCGGGCGCCAGTTATGCTCGCTACTCCACTGTAGCCCAAGCTGGGCGACAGTTATCAATTGTAAATTTTGACGTAATAACTACACTTATAATCTTTTACATAAGTTCTCGTTGGCTATTGAAAAGTTAATAAAATTAGGAAACAAATTAATTTAATGCATTTTAATGCTAAATTCCAAATTAAGGGAATGAAACCGGTTGAAATCTATTGCCTTTTAGTGAAATTCAAGAGCAACTATCACAACATAGGTACTCCTAGTTAAGCTTATATCATAATTTGCTTTGGGATTCGTCTAAGACATAGACTACCATAGGTAAAAGCTGTGCTTACCGAACGCTTAGCTGCGCAATTAAATTGTTCAAAGCGACGGAAACCTCTTCGTTACGGAGGCTTAAAACTTGAGTCGTTGCCGCAAGATCAGAGTCAGCTCTTGCTTTGTGTGTCTCTAGAAGTGGTAACCGACTTCCGCGCTTCCAATCTCGCGCTAATAAAGCGGCGAGGGCCCCCATCCACCCTGCGAATAAGCCCCTTTTCCAAAGCGTTCTGTAAACGCTACATTAGGTTAGAATTAAAACCTCTTAACAAGAGTTCCAAACGTTACCCCTTTCATCGCCGGGCGTAGCGATACCAGTTGCTAGGAAACGCAGTTTTCGCCGGAAAGATAAGTTTTCCAGCGACGCGCTCGGGCAGTTTCACGGCTGCCTTTTGCATCGGAGATAAAACCGTTATTCCGGGCTCTCTGGCACGCTAAATAGCTGCCAGGTTATTGCGAGTGCAGCTCTTGGACTGCCATTCGAGCGAAACACGCAGGATCTCCTCCCCTCCTAATTGTGCCATACATTTTGGGAGATTTTGATAGGGATCGTGGATGCCCTTCCCTTCTGTGGAGAGTGCTTCGTTAAAGCACCGTGGGCGATTATTGCGAGAAAGTTTTGCGAAATTTCGTTTCCAGCTTTTATTTTGAGCGAATAAATATTCAAGAGTTCTTTTTCTTTTATCATTATGTAATGCGCTTTTTCATCTGAGTATAAATGAAAGTGGTGGCGTTTTTAATAATACGGTAAAAGCTTCTAAGGCTCAGAGAACAAAAGTTAATATCATTGGCATATTTTTCCGACACTTTGTACCATTATGGGGTGTTTTATTTCATTCTTTCTTCTTTCTTTTAGGTTTTCGTAGATGGTTATGTTTGTGGATTGCATAAAACGAATTTTTGTCTGAGCTATAATTTTTGTTGCAGAAGAAAAACTTTAGTAAAAATTACTTTTTAGACCAAGAAAAAGTCGTAACTGTTTTGTAGTAAACACAAAAATGAATAAATGAATTGGATTCAATTTTCGTTATCTGTGTTTTTTAATTAAATTTTACAGATTTAATACTGATTCAGTCATTAAAATGTTGTGTAACGACAAAGCAGGAGAACACTCTCGTCATTAGAGTGCGTTTCCTTCAGTAAAGCCCACTTCAAGTATTAAAAATTAACTTGCTTTGTGCTGAGAATATGTAAATAAAAAACTGCATTCACGTACACGCACACATGGTGAGTTTTAATTTACTTTTACACATTTGTCATTTAAAAGAAAATTAAGTTTTTTGTTATTATGTGTAGATCTAGAAGTCTAAATACATATTCTTTTTTTAATTGATTAAAATCATGAGGGAAGTTTCTAATCTGTGTTTAATGTGTTATTACATTTCGTTGGGTTTATAAGTGGTATTATATTAGAAGAGAGTTTCTTAAACTCTGGGTCGCGCCCCCATGGTGGTCGCGGGACCTGCAGCAGGGGGTCGCTAAAAATTTTAGCAGTTTTGATATTTCTTTGACTTATTATAATAATTTTACAATTACCAAATATTTTTACACAATGTATCTGAAAATAGATAAAGATAAGACAACACAGACAAAGAAAAAACGAAAACGTTTCGACGTATTCTTTTTATAATATAAACGCTCATTTTACTTGCTTTGCCGTGACAGTGTCATTTCGTCTGTTACTTATTTAAAATTTTCACATTGTTCTGTATCTTAAAATTAGAAATTAATGACATAAAATTTCAGGAGTATATTACAGTACAAGTGAAAAAATTGACGGTTTCACTGTTGGATTTGCGTTAAGCTTATGGGGTTCCACAAAATTTTCGTAAATATTATGGGGTCCTGGAGTCGCGAAAAAAATCTCAGTGATAAAAAGGGATCGCGAGTGAAAAACGTTTAAGAAGCCCTGTGTTAGAAGATAAAATAAAATTTTAAAGTTTCGCCGACGTAAAAGTACTCGTACTCTTTTTGCGGATCAATTTCAAAAGTTAAATAACACCTCGCGTAAAGGTGCGAAAAACCTACAAGTCGAGGTATCTTATGCCAAGTTAAGTATGTTACCAAGTAAGATTTTGGTTTGTCACTCTGATTAGGCGGTGAAATTTGTAATTTCTAGTTCTTTGGCGGTGCTCTGGCGTAAAAGGGCTTGCACCTGTATGAAAGTTGCCCCACCTCCCCCCGAAATTAGAAAATGATCTGCTTAACTGTGCGGTCACCTTTATGCGAATAAAACGTTTTGAAAATTTCTGTATTTTCCAACAGTGTCCGATTTGCTTAAATGTTTGGTTTGGCTTATTTGATAACGGCAAACACTCGAGGGCTATCTGCCAAAGGGGAGGCATACCTACGTTGGTGAATTTCTGAGGAAAACTGGCTCGTATACATGTTATGCATGGGGCAAATCACGAGAACATCCATGCAGCCAACACGTTCTTTGGGATTCGAATCCTGGACCTATTCAGCGATTTTACTGCTTAGCCTCTGGTGGGCTTTGCTTAAAAGTGCCGACACCTTTATCGTAGGACACTATTATGAAGGCTGACCTGTTTACTGTATGCCAGGAAACCAAAACACGAGTCATTTATTGGTATGATATTGGCGAGTGTCAAAAAATGTGTTTTAATGTCTCAGTGAATGAATTTTTACAGATTTACTCAAGTTAAAGGATGTTAATGCATTTTAACACGGAAGACTTGGCTTCGTTTTATCGATCAAAAACTAAGAAAGCAATTAAGAACATTTACAGCGTTTTATCCGTTTTCCTCTTTATTATAAGTTTATTTTTTTAAATTGTCATTTATTTTGCTGTGGCTGCCCAATTAAATAAATCATTTTTATCTTTTGCTTCCATTTAAAAAATATGACAAAAACTGAAGTCTCTCAGCGTGTCTCGTGAATAGTTGTAGCTGCACAATTTTAAGAGCTCCGCTGCTATTAATGCTGTGATTTTTTTTATATGAAAATATTGCTATTTTCTGACTAAAACTTACCAGTTCTCCTGAGAACGCAGATCATTAGATAGGCATGTTGCTTAATAAGTACATCACACTTCCATCCAAGCAGGCGGATACTTCATTTTCTTTCTCTCCCTCTCTCCATTTAGTGGCATTTACCATTCGGATAGCCAAACTTCACTGTTTTATGAGGATGTATTTGATGGATCTCTAGGCTAGTGGTAACGGTATTTCTTATTTATTTGATTAAATGACTAAAATTTCAGATTCAAAATAGCTTTCTCTTTGGTGATAACTAATAATCGAAAAGTGCATAAGAGTAAATTCACTTTTATATTTTACAGTTTGAGAACATATTGGTTAAAAAGAAAATTTAATTGAAAATATTGCTAACGAAATGGTAACTAAAATACTAATTATATTAAGGATTTATTATTATTCAGTTTTGTCTCGGATTGTACTCGAACATTTATCCCGAAAATATCTAGACCGAGGGTTTCGTAGGGTGGTGGTGTTGGGGGGCAGAATTTTAGTTCCTGGAGGGAATGTTGTCAGCCTTTTATTTACCTGCTAACACTTTATTTTATGAATATAAAAAATTATTTTTATTCAAGTTTTGGTATTTTTGAACATTTTCTATGTTTTTCTTTGTTTAACTTGTAAGAACACATTAATAAATAATCTAAATTTAAATAAATGCATAAGCATTTTTCAAGCTTCAGAATGGAGGGGTGGTGATCGTTTAGCAATGGTTAAAGGGGCCATGGAGGCCCCCCCCCGAAAAAAAAGAGTTAAGAATCACTGATCTAGTCTGTAGTTAGGATTTATGTGCTCAGGTATTCCTGCTCCATGAATTTGACTTTAGCTATCCACTGTGCTGCTTCCTTCAATCCCCTTCATATATTTTCTAATTGATGATATTGCATAGCAAATTTGCCTTGTTTACCTAATATTTGTGTTTCAAGCTTTATTTCCTATATTATGTTAAATATAGGCATGGACTAGGCATTTCTCATGTTAATTCTAGGCAAAATTTCTTAGCAACAGACTTTGAAAATGATCTGAGTCAATAAATTCGTTCTTGAATACCTTTGAAAAATTTCCCGTAAAAGATATGGAATTTTTTTTTTTTTTTTTTTTTTTTTTTTTTTTTTCTTAAGGCATAGTGAGCATGTTACTGATTGGACTTTCTGATCTACAGGGCAACATGAAAGTTTAGATTTTGCATTTAGAGTATAATCTTGTAAGGTATTTCTCCCGCCTTTTTAGCATGCCTTCGTGGTGTAAAAGTCAGCACACTCAGCGCGTATTCGAGAGGTCCAAGGTTCGAGTCCCGGGGAGGGCATTGCTCATTTTTCATGTCTCCCATATCAAAATAACCTAACGTCTCTACAGTGGCGCCCGAACTAAAAAAAGGTGGTGATAATGATTCTCCTCCACCAGGATTTGGCAATTGGATCCCCTGATCCCCAGTCGTCCTTTAAAAGGGGGAGTATATAAGGTAGTTCTCCCGCCTTCTTAGCATGCCTTCGTGGTGTAAAGGTCAGCACGCTCGGCCCGTATTTGAGAAGTCCGAGGTTCGAGTCCCGGCGAGGGCATTGCTCATTTTTTATGTCTCCTGCTTCGAAATAACCTAATGTCTGTACAGTCCTAATGTCAAAGTATCTTCAAAGCAGTTTTTATTGTAGAAATCGAATGTGCACGTCTAAGAATGATGTTAAAGAAAATAAAACTTGGAAACCCTGTATAATGTGTTACTTCGGATTTCTGGGAAAGAAAAAAGAAACTAGGAAGTTAAAGAAAAAGTGGTTTCATATTTCGAGAAATTTCCGTTCTTGATAGTTCGACAGTTTCCATTTTTTAATCCCTGAAAAGCAGCCATCACCTCGCATACTTTTGATCTTCAGATTTTGCAACGCGATGATGTGTTAAAATCAATAAACAGTGATCAATTTATTTCTTTATAAGCACATTACTTTGATAAGATAAAATGATTTATAAACTGCTTGCGTGACGGATATATTATCACATTATACCAAATTGCTCTCTGATGATATATATATCACATTGCTTGCATGATAGATATACGAAAAGAACTGATAAGGACACTTATTAACACTAACCCTCCCCCCCAAAAAAAAAATCGTTGTAAAATTCTACGGTACAAGAGACAGCCTCAGGGGGTGGAGAGATAGGGACTGCAGGAGTTTTTGTTGTGCGTGTAACTGTGTAAAGCGTGCCTTTCAGAAGTTGTGATACCATTAGAAAAGAAACCGAAAATCTCCGTTTCTTTCTTCACGTGATTTTTTTTTTTTTTTTTTTTTATCTTCCTCCTGCGGCAGTCATACAGTTGAACGTCGAATTCGCATAAAAGGAAAGCACACGTTCCTTTAGGTTCATCCGTTCCGCGAAAGCGATCATGTGACTCTGTAATTTTCGATCTCGATTTAAAATCGTGGTGCTTATCGGAAACGATTTTCCGGTAAGGACGGCAAGAAGGAATATCCTGCCTTCGGGAGCAGTATTCCAAAGAAAGGAAAAGAGTTTGGTTTATATATATATATGTGTGTGCTATCGATTGTGGATTGTCGATTCAATAAAACTGGTAAGTGTGAGAAGGAGAAACAACAAAAATAGATCTTTGCGAAAATAGTTTGCGATTGTGCGTTTAAAGACATTTGACACTATTCCTTTAAAGTTTAAGGAAATAGTTTTTCTGTTTCTTCGCAATCGATTGTGCTAGGGATTCAAAAGAAACTGGCCAGCTTCCGATTTTCTTCGATCTTTTATTTATTTGTTTATTTTTTATAGATATAATACCATTCCACCTCCATCGTGTTAGGGAAAGGTCACCAAAAACGACGCAGTTTGAAAATAAATAGCACTACCTAAGCTTTGAGATAGAGCTGATCTCTGGTTTTAAAGTTTTTTTTTAAACTCCTCTTTTTATGGGATTCTTCTCTCTCCGGGATTTCTCCTGGAGATGCCTTTATTCTTTTTATGGTTATAAAACGTGTTCGTCTCGGAC